GATAATATTATAATAATTACTTAAAAAGGATAGAAAAATAAATTTAATCTTCGACGAAGTTTAACTTTTTCTTTTCAATTAATTCTCCCTAGTTTTGGTCGGAAAGATTTTGATGGACGAAAGGAATACCATTTTCCTCCCACTTTCCTTTCTTTCTAATTTTTCATCTCAACCAAATAATGGAAACTCAATTCATATCGTATTTTCCTTCTTCACTTTTTCATCCATTTTACTTTTTACCGTAACAACTAACAAACAACATTAGAATTCCATTTTTTTTTCATATAAAAACACTTTAGCATTTATCTATACTACTTTTAAAAGCATCTAAACATGAAAAATATTTATTTTCCTATTTTACCCTTGACAAATACTATAAAACCAAAATTATCCTTAATCTAATAGTCATTAAAACTATGTAATCCTTAATTTTATTTTTCTTAAATTAAAATTAATAAGATCATTTCAATTGATGTCACTACCAAAATTGCACCTCTTCATCCCTCCCTCACATAACTTCATGGAATGTTAATCGGCACCCTTGTCAATATCTATATCTATACTACTAAAAAATTAAGATACATGAAAAATATTTATATTTTATTTTTACCCTTAACATTTTCTATAAAGTCAATCATATCCTCTATCTTTTGATCTTCCCTTAGCATCAAATTGATTAGCTGCATTATTCAACAAACAATGTCAGTGCACGATCATCTGATTATATTTAATTTTCTTAAATTAATATACTAATTATATTTAATTTCCTTAAATTAACCCTAAAATGTTTACAACTCATTGTCACCCACAACAAATAAATCTTTCTCAGTTGATACAAAAAGTGTTATTCTCGATTATCCTCTCTGTCTTCCATTCTCTCATTCTTTTTTATATTTCAAAATTTTGGCTCTTTGTTGTATCAATTTGTGGGCATCTGTCCGCAATCTTATCGATCATCCAATTACTTTCAACTCACCAAAATTTTGGACTATGTGTGAATAGAATGAAAACAAAGACAGAAGAAGAAAAGAATACAATGGCCAAGGACTCCAAGAAACAGAAGTTGTTTCATGAGCTTACTAAATTTCTTTTTGAGCACATCTCATTATTTATGAGGTGGTAGTGGCTTTATGCGCTTTTATTTGCAGATGCATTTGACTTTTATAGTTTTTTGTTTGTAGGTTTTGGATTTTGATTTCAAGAAGTTTTGTTCTATTTCTCTTTAAAATTTGAATGTTTATGCGTGTTTGGTCTGTGGGAAGTATTACCAAAGAAGATGTCAGAAATCTCATTCATACACTCATAGCCTTGAAGCAGGACACCAGATTTACACAATCTTCGAACAGAGAAAGTTTATTGTCTTCCTAGTGGATATGAAATCATTGACTCTTCATTAGATGACATTCGACATGTTCTTAACTTGAGGTTCACTAATATTTAGCTTTAATTGTTTTTTACATGTAGAAGATTTTTTTTTATCCCTTTATATCTTTGCTAATAATTTATATTCCTATTTTAATTATTCTCCTCGTTCGATTTTTTTGAAGTTATTGTACAAGTTTACTCGGACGCAAGTTCAGCAGCTTGATAGAAATAGGCAATGGTCTAGGGCACTTACTGATTTTGATATTTGTTGTTATTAGTATGACATTAAATTTTGTTGCTCAGTGGTATATTCTGAACAATTTTGAATATAAACTTAGACAATCAAGTGTCTAATTTCACCATTCTCTGGTGCTAATTATAATCTGATGGCTTCGACAATTTTTTTAGGTGGGACTCAATAACATTAGAAAGACCGAATTTGTGAATGTTACAATTAAATTTTTAATGCAAGTTACTCCATTGAGGAACTTTTTCTTTACCCTTAAAAATTATTTACATTGCAAATCTACACTCATCCTTTGATTTGGATAGCTCACTCGAAAGAATTGACACTCAAGGAACTTCAAGGGACAGGTTTGTTCCTGGTGTAATCAAACTTTAGCAATGACTTTTGTTCAAACTTTAGCAATGACTTTTGTTCATAGAATATTTATACTTAACATTTTTTGTGTCTCCAGGTGAGCCCACATGAGTTTCTATAGGCAGTTATGGACTACATACAATATTCAAATCTTTATGTTTTTTTTTCTTCTGAGCATATAATTAAAAGGGGCTGACATTGATTTGTGTTTAAAAGTATATGTAGTGTCTATATCAATTAGGTTTATGAATGTATTATCTTTCTTTATTTCCTTCGCCAGATGTTCCATACGACACACAAGGAGCACAATAAAAAAATTATCCAGATCGCCACTTTTGGGTAATGGAAGCTTGCGATATCTTATTGACTAGTGAGACACATTACATAATAACAGCAAATTGAAATAGTGGATCAGTTGTAGGCTAGAATACATGTATACTTCTCGAGGGTGTCGTGGCAGTGTTGGACACAACCAGACATGTGTCCAAAACAACTAGAAGTGTTCTAAATAATGAGTTCAGTCAAACACAACCAAATTTTTTTTTTTAAATGATTGTAGCTTGGTGTTTTTTTTTTCTTTCTGTCTGTGTTTTTGGTTATGTAACTTATGTAGTATGAATGTTAATGTATGTAATGATGTTTGGTGAAAATTATGGATGTTTATTTTGATCTATTTTAATTTGAAATCAAAAAAATAATGTTTGCTAGATCTTATTATTAATATTATTATACAATATGCTTTATTTTTCATATATTATAATTTTAATTAGTTGTATCTATGACTTACATGCGCCTTATATTTTTTAACTTTGTCATATCTCAGTATCCGTATCGTATTAAATATATATTTTGTTTACAAATTAATGAAAATTGTTTTCCTTCTCACACCTGACTCTTGATTTTTTTTCCCCACAAATTCTAAATGCATGACCAAATGTTGGGTTTTATTTATAACCAATTCAGTGAGTATACTAGGTGCAGATCTAAACATCTCAAACTAGGCGTGACTTGACTAGATTTCCAAACCATAATCTTAAGGTAAGTGGTTAATGCCTCAGACTAAACTATGCATTATGTATTGTCATTTCCAAAAAAAATTTTGCCTTTCTACTTGCACAAGTAGATAATTTAGCTTTCAATTTTCTATGAACAATACTTCCATTTAGTTGTTGAAAAAATACAAAACCTGGCCAAAAACTTGGAAATTGATTTCTAGGTTCTCAACTCAATAAAATTGAACATCGATTCTTATATTCTCTACTTAATGAGGTGATTGTAATATTACCTTCTGAAAAAGGCGTAGATGTAGTATTAGGTCTATTTAGGTAGAAACTAATTTGAATTTTTATGTAGAAAGTAAGTGAATTTGGATATTAGTGATTGTATAAAGTAAACTTTGTGCTTTGACGAGGGAATTATTTGTTGAAATGAATACCAGTTATTTAAAATCAAATAGAATTTGATGAGAAAATCATATGATTACGAATGGAAGAGAGCAGAAAACAAAGATGAAAATATTGTTTCGATTTATTTGTAGCATATGAAACTCGGCCAAATCAATCGAGTCTCCCAAGATACATTTATAAGTTTTAGACATCAAGAAACTCAGCCAATTGACCAATATAAGAAATTTTACAAATGAGACATCAATTAAGATGTCTAATTAGTTATTTATGTCTTTTAAGAGAGATTCTCTCCATGACTTCCATTTTCCTTAATTTTGCTATTATAAACTATTACAGAAGTTCTCTATATAACTTCTCTTTTCCTATAATTAACTATTAATTTTTCGTTAATCTTGGTTAAGAGAAGACATTGAATTTTATTTGGCTATAAACTTGTCATAGGTCAAGAGTTATTTTTGTATTCTATTGTGTGGGTAATGATGAAATTATACATAATTTCCAATATATATAAATGTTAACAAAACAACACTAAGCTTCTCTTTGGGTACAATTCTTATTTTGTTGTTGCTAACCACTCAAGCAGTTTGGAGTGAACAAACTTGGATTATAGATAACTAAATTTAATTAAAAGAACACTCTACTTAAGTTGAGTTGCATGATTCATCTTTTAAATTATTAGGTTAATTTAAGTCTATTATATCATGGCAAAAAAGAAAGAACGTTTGATTGATTTTGTGACAAGAGTGCAACAACAATAGTTATCACCCACACAGCATACTCACACAATAGTTGGAGAAGATGATGACAAGTACAATCGCTCAAATGGAGGCAAAAAAATATCTGCTCCAAGAAGTATAAAGCCAGAATAAGGTTCTCAAGATAAAAATGATGCGTCAAAAAGGCATCAAGAAGGGGTCCAAAAGGAAATTGGAAATATTCAAACTTGAAGATGAGGAGTTCTTAAATTACCTATATCAACATGTGATAATTCTACTTTTGGTTTTGTTGAAAGTATCCAAATCATGAGTTTATTGGTGAACTATTATTTCTAATTCTTGATTATTGACTATTTGTTTAATTATTTTTAGTGAATACTAAATAATGTATATCATTTAACTTATAACCGACATATAACTAACAAAAGAGTTCAAAAACTTGTCTACCAAAGTTGACAAAGACATGACGCATCTGTATAATTTATTGGAGTTCATGATTTTTAACCTGACCAATGAATAATATTTGATGCTCGAAATGATCTACGTATAATGCATGTGTGCATCAATTAGTAATATAAAAAAAAAAAATTTATAAAAATACATGCCACGATCTCAAATAAATTCTTTTAACGCCACCAATATTTTTTTTTAAAATCAATCAAACAGACAGCACTGGCGTAGAATACGACAAAACAAAATCTCTTTTCTTTTCATCCTCTCACTCTCTCTCTCTCACCGACGAAGTCCAGAGTTTAATTGAATTCAAATTGTCAGTTCCCCTTTTTCTTCTAATTCCTCCCCCTTTGATCCTATAATTTACCATCTTAATACCCCGTCCTGTAATCTCATATGTTCGTATGGATGTAGGTTTCCTTGAGTTATTCTATATAATTATTTGATTTTTGTATGCAGATATTTTTATGTCCGAGTCTGGTAAGGAGCGATCAAGGCTAGGTGGTGGTTGTTGTGGCGGTAGAAGTGGCGATGACGAGGACGACGGTGGTGATTGGAAGAATGAAAATGAACATGGGTGTGAAAATTGTGGTAAAAGGGGCAAGAGGGTGGCCCTATTTCGATTCAGAAAGGTTAAGAAACCATTCCAAAGGAGGAATAAGAAGTCTAATTATTCTTCTAATTTAGGCAAGAGGGTATGTGGTGGTGGTGGTGGTGGTGGTGGAAGTGGATGTTACTTCTGTTTGAAGCAACCTCAGACTTTGGATTCCCCTGGTGAGTCTCAGACAAGAGATCCTAACAATCCGGAGTTTACTTATGAGATATTAGGGCCTGTGATTGAGAAGAATGATTTTTATTCTAAAGAATGCAATACCCATTTGGATGATATATAGAGTTTGCCCCTCTTCTTCGCGTATGGGAAGTAAAAGAGAACGAAAATTTTGGAAAAAGAAAAACAAAGCTTAAGTGATTCATTCATTCCCCAGTTTTGGAATGTTTAATGGCTGTGTGCATTCGTTTTTTGGAAATTATTTCAGAGACTTCTAAGGATACCCAGGTCGTTAGAATCAATGACAAGTGTCCTCTGTGCATTCATTTTTAGGAAATTATTTTAGACGCTTCTAAGGGTAACCCATGTCGTTGGAATCAATGACAAGGATCTTCTGTGTGGTTCTATGATTAATATCAGCTAAAAGAAGATCAAGATTGTATGTAGTGAAATCTTGAATTTTTGGGGGCTGCATACAGGTTAATGAAAACCTCTGGGGGCATTCTGATGGCTTGGAATTTCATTTCTACAAGTTCAGCATAGGAAGGTGATCAAGATTGAATACATTGGGTTCACTACAAGGGGCTCTGCAGTTGCTATTGCAATGCCGCTTAGTTGACATTATTCATTTCGGATAATGGGATTTTGGCTTGTGCTTCTGTATATATACGGAATTGACCAAGGAGAATAGGTGGAGGCAAAGTTCCAACTATTATCTTTGGTTGGAAATTCATGTGCAAATTTATGCAACTCGAAAGAATTGGTTCTCTGTGGCCGACGTGTATCAGGTTCTTCCAACAATGTATTCTTTGAAACTATATTATGTATTTCTTTATCCTTTATGCAACTCGTTCTTTTTTATTGTAATATAGCATCATTATGTGTAAGACTTAGTTTTAGAGTCCAATATTCAGAATCGAATCATTGAGTTTTGCATCTTTTTAAACTTAGTTACGTATTTTAAAAATCCTGAATTTGTTATCTTCTTGAATTGAACTTTCTCTAGTGGTTTACTTTCATTCTTTTCTACTCGCTGGTCCGTAAGTAACAAGGAGGTTTGCCATTTTTTGAACATGTTTGGAATTGTATTTACAGATTGTGTGATCTGATGAAGAGATGATATATATAAATATAGTTCTACTTCCAGTTCTTTAGTTTTACAACATGACTTGCCAAAGGTGAAGAGAGATTGTAGCTGTTTAAACAGGAATGCTACATGATCTTAATGCTTGGTGTGATAGATACCAGTATCGTAGAGACCCCAAATTTCCCATGACCCATGGTCACAGACCCATAACGAGATGGGTTTGCTACCCAGGCCGCTAAAATTACTGACCCCAAAA